TTGTAGAGGTCACTCTAAGGGCTTTCCTCTAGCCCTGGCTTGGGTCAGTCAGGGATTCTTGTGGCCCTCCTGTGGGCCTTAGCCGTGCCTGGCTGACTGGCCACATTCTCGTGGCCAAGGCACTGTGGGGAGACCATGACTTTCAGTGTGCTTGTCTCAGCACTGGAGAAGGACCAGGAGCAGTAGCTCATGGTGGTTCTCTGAGGATCTCCTGGGGCATCTCAGATGGGAAGGTGGGCTGGGACAGCATTATCAGCTGGTCCTGGTGGGACTTTGGGACTATTGCCTAGGACCCCTTGGGTCAACCTCACACTGTGAGGGAAGGGGAACTCCAGAGTTTCCCAACTCTTTCTTGTATGGCTGCTGGTCAGGGCCAGGGAGAGGAGGAGCCTCCCAGAGCCAGCTCTAGGCCTCCTAGAGCAGAGCAGCCAGTTCAGGGCGCCCTCCAGTGGCCACTTAGTGACTTCGTTTAGTCCTTCATTTATTCTAATACCGAGTGAACATCACTGTGCCAGGCGTGGTGCCAGGCACATATTTCACTTTTAAAAATTAAAACAAGCATTTATTATTCATCTACTAAGTGGAAAGCTCTCTCCTGGGTGTCGATGTATGTTGGTGAGAGGAGAGAGAATACAGCAGGCAAGCCACTCCTTACACCGGGCTGGACATTTGTGTACCTGGGGAACCTGAGGAAACACCTGCGCCCTGCCACCACGAGGTGAATCAGAAATTGTAGGGCGTGGGGCGTGGGTGCCAGTGGTTTTCAGCGGCTCCCCAGGTAAAGTAAATAAGCAGCCAGACCTGAGAGCCACTCGTTTGGAGGGTTGCCCAACACATTTCCCACCCGTCACTCTCACCCACCTGCCAGGATGGGCATTATTGTACCATTTCACAGATGAGACAGGTTCAACGGCACCTGTTCCTCTCCCTCTCAGTCAAGGACTGCGATGGGAAAGATGCTTCCCACAGCGTGGGTGGCAGGGCTGCACCGTACTCCTACCAGGCTGTCTCTGATCGCTGAGAGGCCCCTTCATAATAAACAAACAACAACAACAAAAACCCCATGGCGTCAATTCTGATGCATAGCGCCCCTAGAGGACAGAGAAGAACTGCCTCATAGGGTTTCCAAGGCTGTAAATCTTTACAGAAGATCACTACCTCTTATTTTTCCTGTGACCTTTAGGTTAACAGCCAAATATGTTAACCACTATGCCACCAAACAAACAAAAAAAAAAACTGGTGAAGAATGCTGAAGGTACCATGGACTGCCAAAAGAACAGATCTGTCCTGGAGGAAGTGCAGCAGAGATGCTCCTTGGAAGCAAGGATGGCCAGACTTCGTCTCACCTACTTTGGTCATGTTATCAGAGGGGACCATTCCCTGGAGGAGGATGTCATGCTTGGTAAGGTGGAGGGTCGAGAAAGAGGGGAAGGCCTTCGATGAGATGGATTGACATGGTGGCTGAGACAATGGGCTCAGATATAGGAGGGATCGTGGGGTGTTTCCTTCTGCTGTGCATGGGGTTGCTAAGTCAGAAACGACTCGATGGCACCTAACAACAACATGCCACCAGAGCGCCTTGCTTCTGTAGTAGCAACAGTATTATTGTTCAATGTGAGCAGAAAATACCTAAGGTCATTGTGAAATGATTTTTTTTTCCCCAGGCAGAGAATTATAAAGGCAATGGGTGGGGTGCACAAAAATGATCTTTTAGGAGTATGCCAGAGGGGGAGTGGAAGAGGGAGTAAGCCCTAGAGAGAGAGGGAGAGAGTAGATACTGATTTTAAGGCTCAGGGTCATATACTACATCAGAGCTTCAGAGCGAGTGGTCCGTGTCTCCTGGCATAATCCTTGCAGTGCTTATTAAAAATGCAACAGCGTCAGGCCACAGAATCTACCCTGGAGGAAAAGCCTAGAGCTGCATGTGTAATAAGCATTCCAGGCGCTTCCTGTGCTCACTAAAGACCAAGAGTCACTACTGCTTCCAGCTCCACTCTTCCCTCTTTTAGCAACACGAGCCGAGCATGGCGGCACTGGCCTAGTGCTCAGCCGCCCAGAGGGCCCTCACGTATGGATGAATATATTCAAATTTATTGAACTGACTGCTGCGATTTTAACAGGTAGCCCTTGAGGCTCTGTGCACATCTGTCTATTTTGCACCGGCTGGCTGGGAGCCAGCAGTAAAAGTGCTGTGGACCCCAAGGCTGTCTCCAGCTCTAGGTCACGACCTCTCACGCAGCCCCTTGTCCCTCCTTCTCCATCCGTAATTCTGGACCCACCCACTACCGGGGTCCGGTAACCAATCACAGTCTATGGCGTCACCAACAGCCAATCAGAGCTCCTCAGCAGTCTTCCGAATTTTGTCCATTTTTCTGAGGTGATGAAATTCCAAAGCAGTACTGTCCTTTTCAAATGGGGGACACCGAGACCGAGAGAGGAGCACAGGCCCGTACAGGGTCACCACAGGCAGGTGGCAGGGCCGAGACTAGAACCCAGGACTTCTGATCGTAGCCCAGTATTCTTCCCACAGCCACGGCGCTGCCGCAGCCTCACAGGGCCGGGCACAGTCTCTCCTCCCTCGGTAGGTCTTGGCCCAGCCGATGAGGCCTAGGGCCCCAGTCCGTCATCCGCACGACTCTCCCAGGAAGGGCTCGGAGGACGGGACACGAGGAAGCAAATCCCTCAACCTCTGGATTTTAGGGTCCAGAGGAAATGGCAGGAATGACAGGGCTGGTGGCGGAGGGAAGAGGAGCCGTGGTGGCACAACGGTTAAGCGCTCCGGTGCTAACTGAAAGGTTGGAGGCTTGAACCTACCCAGCTACTCCTCAGGGGAGAGAGCCGGAGACCTGCTCCCGGAAGGACTACAGCCTAGACTAGAAAACCCAATGCGGTAGTTCTCACTCACACAGGGTGGCTCTGAGTCTCCACTCAGCAGCACCTAACAACCACGACATGGGGAAGGGGGAGGAGCCCCAAATTCCAGCCCTGGTCTCAGCCAGGAAGGAATTAGAGGGCCCAGGGCTGTGATGGCCGCCACTCCTGGGCAGATTACGAGGGGCTCAGACAAGGGATCCTTTGTGGAGGCCCTAGCTTAGGGAGTCAAGTGACCTCTGAGCACACATTACACACTTGGGCCGTGCCGGTACCCTAAGGTACCCTAAAACAGAGGCACTGGCCTCAGGACCCCAGAGAGACCCACCAGCCCAGTGGCCAGAACTTTTGTGGGATCGCTCCGCCGGCCCGGAGCCCCACCTGTGAGTAGGGGTTGCCCCAGGTGGGCTGGGCTGGGGCTTTGAGCCTTCATCTGTGTGTGACATTGACACACAAGCGGCACCCGTGCAGGTGTGTGAGCACCCGCACGTCTGTGCAAAGGCCCTGCGATGGGAAGGAGCTGGAGGCTCAGAGACAGCCAGTGTGGCTGTATCAGAGTAGGTTGGGCGGGGGGAGTGGGGGGAAATAGGATGTCAATCATTGCTTCAATAAATTTTAGCGGGCAGTTATAAATGACTATATTGATACTTCAAATAGATATAATACCATAAATTAGATGGCTCTTGGTTTTAGAAGGTTTTAGATATTATTGCTGTTTGCCAGTGAGTGGATTCCTACACACAGCGGCCCCATGTGACAAGGTAGAACCACCCCATAGGGTTTTCTTGGCTGTAATCTGTGTGGAAGGAGATCGCCAGATCTTTCTCTCAAGGAGCCGTTAGCTGGGTTTGAACCACCAACCTTTCTGTTAGAAGCCGAGCTTTCAAGCATTGCACCACCAGGGCCCCTTTTCTTTCTTTCTACTTTTTAATAATTGATTTTCTCTTTTGTTGTTGTTGAGAATACACACAGCACACCATACAACAATTCAACCCTTTCTACATGCACAATACCATGGCACTGGTGACAATCTTCAACTTGGGCGACCATTTTCACCCTCCTCCGAATTCTTCCTCCTTCCTGAACACTGGCTCCCTGCCCCCTCAGCTTCCTAGTGAATCGTTCCAGTTGCTGTTGTCAATGTGACCCTATACAGTACATTTTTATCGAGCCCCACCTACGAGGCCACAATAGGAGCCTCCATTCTAAGGACAGGACAGGCAGTAAACCAGCAGAAATCCTGTACAACATAAGTTCAAGTCGTGATCAGTACTATGTAGAAAATTCAAGGAAGGTGAGCGGGCAGAGAGGTCTGGTGGTAGTGGGGCCCTTTTCCCAAGTGGAGTGGCTGGGGATGTCCTTTCTGAGGAGATGACCTGAAGTGGGAAGTAAGTCATGCAGTTATTGGGGGTACGAGCATCCCCCTCCCTGCAGGAGGGTCAGGCCCTGGGGCCACCCTTCAGCAAACATTATTTGAGTAGCTCCACCAGCCAGGCTCCACCCTGGGCTTTGGGATGCAGCATTGGACAAGGCTGACCCGGTCCCATACATACTTCTTGCTCCAGGCTTATTGAGGGAGGTTGGGGAGCCAATGAACGAGACGGGCTCCAAATACTTCCTGGTTCAGAGGACCCAAGCTTAGTGTGTGGGTGTCACTGTTGTTCCTGCCTTTGTCACTGTAGCAATTTAAGGGCATGCACCATACACAGAGCTACCTATGGGTGGTGTAACCAGTTAATGCGTTAGTTTGTTAACTGAAAGGTTGGCGGTATGAGTCTACCCAGTGGTGCCCTGGAAGTAAGGCCTGGCAACCAACTTTGGAAAAATCAGCCACTGAAAACCTTATGGTTCTGACACCCGTGGGGTCGCCCTGAGTTGAAATCGACTCATTGGCAACTGGTACCTCTGTCTCTAGGCTCACTTCCCCACATCCCCATCTCCCCCAGGCAGTCAGAGCTGGAAAGGCCTTGATGACCCCCATAGCCCTCTCCCAGGGTCCACACAGGGAAGCTGAGGCCCAGAGCAGGGAAAGGCTTGGCTAAGGTCACCTGAGGCTCAGACAGGCCCTGACCAAGCCTCTTGCTCCCTCCTGCCCCCGCCATCAGTGTCCCTGTGTGTCTGTTCACCAAGACCTAAGCCCACCTGCTGGCGGCCCGGTGCCTGGCTATGACTGTGACCTACACCAGCAAAGTGGCCAATGCCCACTTGGGCTCCTTCTCCCGGCTGCTGCTCTGCTGGAGGGGTAGCATCTACAAGCTGCTCTATGGTGAATTCTTCATCTTCCTGCTCTGTTACTACACCATCCGCCTCATCTACAGGTACTGAGGGCAGGGCTGGGCCGGGACTGGGAGGGGTGGCCAAGGCTTGAGCTCCATGGAGGGCCCTCCCAGCCAGCTAGAGGACCAGTGGACTGAGCTGAGCTCCTGGCCAGGTACTGGAAGCAGGGGGCTGGGGAGGAGAGAAAGGAGTCCACAGGCTAAGAGGGTCTGAGAATCCCACAGGCGGCCCTGGGAGGCTCACAGGCCCGGATTTACCTTTTTAAAAGACCAAAACCCTTTGTTTCAACCTGCTTTTAAACCACTGTCCCTTAGATCCCTCAAAATGGTCAAAAAACAACAAAACAAGCAAACACACTGATGTGGAGTCACTTCCGCCTGGGTGGTACAAAGGGTTTGTGCTGATCTACAAACCTAAAGGTTCGTGGTTCAAACCCACCCAAGAGCACCCCAGAAGCAGCAATCTGCTTCCATAAAGTTGTTGTTATGTGCTGTTGAGTCAGGCCCTCCTCAGGTTTCCAAGGCAGTATCACTATGAAGTAGATTGCCCCACCTGCCTTCCGAGGAGGGGCTGGTGGGTTTGAACCGCCAGCCTTCTGGTTAGCAGTCAAGTGCCTTAGGCACTGTGCCACCAGAGCCCCTTCCATGAAGAATACCACATGAAAACCCTATGGAGCCGTTGTACTTTGCAACACATCGGGTTGCCATGAGTCAAGACAGTCAGTTGGGCCTAAAACTGAGCCCTTCAGCAGGTCCTTCCTGTGAGGATTCCTGTCCCAGGAGACCCCTCAGGGTGGCCTTCTCCAGCCCTGGAGCAGAGACCCTGCTGGGCACGTGGCTGTCAGAGGAGACCCCACCCAGCTGAGGCCCCTGAGGCTGAGGCCGCAGAAGGGACTGGAGGGGGTGGGGCAGCCTCCCTCGCCCCCTGGACCATCTCCTCACAGCACCCCCACGTCTCTGCTCCTCGCTCCCCACCCCAGGCTGGCCCTCACGAGTGAACAGAAGCTGATGTTTGAGAAGGTGGCTTTGTACTGTGACCACTCCATCCAACTCATCCCCATTTCCTTCGTGCTGGGTGAGCCTCCCTTCCCGGGCGCAAGGAGGGTAACCAACCGCCCGGGGCGATTTCTAAGTCGCACGCCCCCAACCCCAGCGCCCAGCGGCAGTCTCTACGTCGTGTCTCCCCCTTCTCTACGTCGTGTCTCCCCCTACCCCTGCGTATCAAGAGGAATAGACGCTTCAAGCGATGACTAAGGGAATCGCCTTCCCCCTCCTGGCTGGCTGCTTCTGTCAGGCATCTTTCACGTTTGTGGCGCCTTGGAATATTTTCCTGCGCCTCCTCTGGCGCCCCCTTGGGCTTGCGCTGGGAGCAAGTCGCCCACCGCCACCCCACCCCCGTCCCTCTTTGCTCTGCTCTGCCCTTCCCCGGTCTCTGCGCCTCCAGAGAGGTCCTGGGCGGACCTCTAGGAGTGTAGAGGCGAGGGGGAGGGCCAGGGGTTTGTTGGCCTTCCTGTAGTTGAGGGAAACGTGCAGACAGCAGCCACAGGGACTGAAGTTAGACATAAGGACGTCCTACTACTGTTAGCACTCAAGACCCCGTTTCTGACCGGAAGCGCTGACATTATGGTCCCTGGAGGCTCGGTGCAGGAGGGGAGAGGGTCAGGCAAATTTCTGAAATAGCCAGGGCGGCCTGGAAGGGGGAACCCTGGAGAAATCTTGCTTCTCCAGCCGAGGCTCCTCCTGAGCGCCTCCCAGGGTTGGGGTTGGGTCCGCTCCTATTAGAAAGATGGAGAAACCGAGGCTTCGCCGGCGTGGGGCTCTGGCTGCAGCCTCGCCCCTCGGTCCCCTGCTCCCCTCCCCGGCCCTCCTGTCCAGGCTTCTACGTGACGCTGGTGGTGACTCGCTGGTGGAACCAGTACGAGAGCCTGCCGTGGCCCGACCGCCTCATGAACCTGGTGTCCAGCGTGGTCGAGGGTAAGGACGAGCACGGGCGGATACTGCGGCGCACGCTCATCCGCTACGCCAACCTGGGCAACGTGCTCATCCTGCGCAGCATCAGCGCGGCGGTCTACAAGCGCTTCCCCAGCACCCAGCATCTTGTGCAAGCAGGTGGGCGGGGCCCGCGGCCCGGGGCGGGGCAAGGGGCGGGGAGTGTGGGGCGGAGCCACAGGCGGAGAAGGGCCGGGCTGAAGATAGGTGGAGCCAGAGTCCCTGGGACTGAGGAGTGGGTGGGGCCTGGCCCAGACTTTGCCGAGATCTGGGCGCCGATTGGGTGAGCCGGAGTCAGGTGCCTGGAGAGGGGCGGGCCAGAGACCTCTCCGCGGAGAACAGGGGTTTGAGGCAGTAATTAAGACATTTGGGGGACAAGGGGACAGTGGCGGGGACTGGGGAACTGGCGAGGGTCTACCTCCCCCGGCCCTCCCCTCTCCCATCTCCGTTTCGGGCCTGGAGTTCTACCCCCTGCCTCGCCCTCGGCTTTACCGGATCTGCTCCTGGTTAATAACGCAGACTCCGCCCGCGTGCTCGGTACAGAGCAGTATCTATTAAGCGCGCAGTAACTCCTGAAAGAAGGAGGATGACAGGAGCGCTGAGGTCCTTATGGGCTCAATACGGCTCTAGCCACCCGGGGCCAGCCACCCGCTCTGCAGGTTCCCGCGCCCACTGTCTTCTCCTCTCTGCGCTGCAGGCTTTATGACCCCCGCGGAACGCAAGCTCTTAGAAAGCCTCGAGGGGCCGCACAACAAGTTCTGGGTGCCCTGGGTGTGGTTTGCCAACCTGTCAGTGAAGGCCTGGAGTGGAGGTCGCATCCGGGACTCTATCCTGCTCCAGAGCCTGCTGAATGTGAGCCCACCAGCCGGATGAGGCTGCCGCTGAGGCGGGAGGGTGTGGCCCAGGGAGGCAGGGTGCTGCACAGAGAGAAGGCTTGGCGCCTGGGCGTCTTCCCAAAGCCCGCTGTGGGGTTATAGGATCTTTTCCAAGAGTTCCACAGGCCATGGTTCCCCGCCCGTGCACAGACACACACACAAATCCTCCACCCCCTCTCTAAGTGAGCCTGTGAGAGGTTGGTTCCTTTTGGGGGCACAGAAAGGTTAAGTGAGCTGCCCTTGACCACACAGCCAGGGCTGGACCATGGGTACCAGACAGAGTCTGGTGCCTGGGGAAGTGCTAGGGGTGAGCCTGGGAGAGCAGGCGGTGATCAGAAGCCCAGCCCTCCCTCCTGCCCCCTTAGGAAATGAACACCCTGCGGTCTCACTGTGGACAGCTCTATGCCTACGACTGGATCAGTGTTCCCCTGGTCTACACGCAGGTGAGGAGGAGGCTGGGGGAGCAGCTCCTTTGGCCAACTCAACCTAGGAGGGCTCAGGAAGCAGCCTGTCAGGTCAGAGGGCTTACTTAGAGGCCAAGAGGCTCAACCTAGGATCAGGGGAGAAGGTTCTGTGTAGTGCAAGTTCTGAGAGTCCAGCCCAGTTGAGGCAGTGTGATTTAAAGAGACCCACAGCCACCAGAGCGTGAGAGTCAGCGCAAAGAGGGAGGTTCCTGATCCCAGGGTCCCATCCAGCCTGTTTCTGCCTCTACCTGCTCTTCCTCTTCCCAGGTGGTGACAGTGGCCGTATACAGCTTCTTTGTGGCCTGCCTGATTGGGCGGCAATTTCTGGACCCAGCCAAGGCCTACCCTGGCCATGAGTTAGACCTCTTTGTACCTGTCTTCACATTCCTGCAGTTCTTCTTCTATGCTGGGTGGCTGAAGGTGAGTCACGTGGTCAGGGCTGGCCTCTGTGGGCCTGGCTGCAGCAGCCTGGAGGTGGGAGGAGTTGGGGAGGATGGACAGCCAGAAAAGAAGGTCTCAAATATGGAAAGAAAGGAGCTGGGCCCTGACCACACGCACTGGAAGGGTGTTAAGTTTTTGTCATTTAAATGTTTTCATGTATGAAGAAACTGAGCCTCGGAGGGGGCACCTGATCCCCTGGCTCCACTCAAGGCCTGAAACTCAGCAGGCAGGAGAGACATAGGGAAACCATAGTCAGTGAAGCCATGTGGTGCCCCCTCAATGTTGAGAACGTTCTTCAAGTGTTTGTCCAGAACAAGGGAAATTGGTGGAGTGAGACTGGCAGAGACAGGCGCTGCTGCTGGCTGTTTCTCACCATATCCAGCCATTCCACTCTGGCCCATGTTTGTTCCCTCTCGTTGTTGTTGTTGTTATTTGCCGTTGAGTAGGACCTGACTCATAGCGACTCCTCCTTGGGGTCCGAGGTGGTATCACCACAGAAGTAGACTGCCCAACCTTCCTTCCGAGGAGTGGTTGGTGGGTTTGAACTGCCAGCCTTCTGGTTAGCAGTCAAGTGCCTTAGGCACTACGCCACCAGAGCTCCCACCCTCTCCTTAGTAAAGGGAATCCCTGTGGCACGACCAGTTAAGTGCTCGACTACTAGCCAGAAGGTTGGAAGGCAGGCCTGGCAGTCTGCTTTGGGAAGCCCCACCGTCTTAAAACTCCCTGTGGAGCAGTTCTGCTCTGTGACACATGGGGCGCCTTGAGTCAGAAGCGACTCAACAGCAGTGGCTTGGGGCTTCTGACTTAGTCAAGCCCTGAGGTTAACCAGCCCCCACCTGCTCTGGGACAATGGTTGGCACCACTTGTCCTTGCTCAGGATGCCAGTTTGGGAGGCATTTCATCCCCATGGCAGACGGTGCCCCACCCGCATCCAGTACTCTTCCCGACAGGCTCCTTCCTTATTCTGTTCCCCAGCCCCACCTTCGTCCTTCCCTCCCTCCTTTCCTTCCCCTCTTTTTTGGTGGCAGTGGTGGGTCTCCCTGTCTGTTCTCCTGTGTCCCACACACACACTGTTGCCTCTCCCTGGCCCAGTGATCTGGGGTTTCTACAGAGCACATCACTGTCTGCTTCCAGTGCCCCAGTGGTGCCCCAGTGGTCTGCAAGATGTCCCCCGGACGTTTGCATGTCTCATTACCTCTGCAGGGATTTGTCACCACTTAGAGATTTAGTGCCAAGGAATCTGCCTGCCTGCACCTACCTTGAATCCCGGCAGGCCTCAGCATATGCCTCTGTTAGGTTAGGAAATGAATGAATGAATGAATGTGTGAAGACGTGGATGAGTGAATAAAACTATGCAGTGCCAGGTGATATGCAGTGAGGTGACATAAAGGAGTTGCCTCCAGCTGAGTGATACACTCAGGGACAATATTGGGGACTCAGGGAGAGACTGGCTTGGGGTGTCAGAGGGCGTCAGTGTCCAGGAGGGGAGGGAGTGTGTACTGGGGTGTGCCCACACATGTGGTTATCTGGAACTCTTACACGGTGGCTTTGAAGATGGTGGTCAGGCAGGAAGGGCACTCGTGGTGGTGGTGGTGGTGGTGGTGGTAGGGCTTGGAACTGGCAGGAGCTGGGTTTGAGGGGGCCAGGCAGGGCCTCCAGGAGTCCTGCCTACGATTTCCAGAGCCTCACTTATCCCCCAAGGTGGCTGAACAGCTCATCAACCCATTTGGCGAAGACGATGATGACTTCGAGACCAACTGGATTGTAGACAGGAGCTTTCAGGTACAGGAGGAGGGAGGGAGGCCATCTTATGGACCCATCCCTAGGCTGAATCCTACAGTTCTGCAGGGAGGCCGCACAGTGAATGCCCACTCCCAACCCCCCAGCCAACCATTCACTCAGAATCCTCACCCCAACTTGTGAGGCGGCAGGTAGGCATCACTCTGTCCATTTCCCAGATGGGGAAACTGAGACCCAGAGAGAAGGGAACCTTCAGCCTAGTGCCTGGTCCTGTTGAGTTGACCTTTCTGTTGGACTCCTGCTTCTGTCCCTGGTGACCAGGTGTCCCTATTGGCTGTGGATGAGATGCACCAGAACCTGCCCCCACTGGAGCGGGACATGTACTGGAACGATCGCGTCCCGCAACCCCCTTACACAGCTGCTTCTGCCCAGTCCCGACGACCCTCCTTCTTTGGCTCCGCCTATAACATCAGGTGGGTAGTGCTGTTGAATCGCTGAGGCAGGTGACAAAGCCCTCAAGTGCAGAGGTCTGCCTAAAAACCTAGACTATTGTTGTTGTTATGTGCCAGCTAGTCGGACCGGACTCATAGCGACTCCTCCTTGGGTTTCCGAGGCAGTATCACTACGGAAGTAGATTGCCCCATCTTCCTTCCAAGGAATGGCTTGGTGGGTTTGAACTGCCAGCCTTCTGGTTAGCAGTCAAGTGCCTTAGGCACTGCGCTACCAGAGCTCCCAGAACCTAGACTAGCACTCATTAACATATCAGCCAGGTTCCTAATAGGCACTCGCCACGGTACTAAGTTCTTTGTATCTATTAACTAACTCTTCTTCCCTCCCAATAAGCCTTCTTGATTATCTCCAGTTTTCAGATGATCAGGTGCAGGTTCAGAGAAGTTGAATCAGTCAGCCCCATGTCATAGACAGCAAGTGGCACGTGGGAGCCCGGTATGCCTAGTTCTGCCTGCTTTACTGCCTAACCCTGCGCAGCTTAAGGATGCCTAAAACCGGAAGGGCTCTTAGGGATCTCCAGTCTAAGCACCCCCCTTTCCAAAGCTGGAAACTGAGGGAAGATCCTTGCTTAGGGGGCCTTTGGTGACGCAGTGGGATTTTAGGGCCTGGTTTATAGATAAGCCCGATGTTTGGATGGGAAATGGAGGAGGGGAGGGGAGCCAAGCATGTCCCAGCGGGAGTCTGGGTCAGCACAGTACCTCCCAGGTAGACTTTGTCCTGCACGGGAAAGACCTCAGGCCACCCCCAGCAGCCAAACCTTCTTCCACAAAGTCCTGTTTCCCTTGTTGGGTGAATCCCTCCTGAGCTGGAGGTGGGCCACAGTGGGCTGAAGGCCCATCCCAGCAGCCCTCTTTCCTGGAGGCGACAGTCAGAGTCAGGAGGGCTGTGAGGGTGGCTGTCAGGGTTTCTCCCACAGTGTCAGGCACTCTTAAGAACCAGATGTATTCTGTATGCTGAATGAACTAGAAGAGTCCCTTTACCAGGGTGGGGAGGGCTTGGGAACATCATCAAATGAAGGACAGGGGTTTTGCTGAGGTGAGAAACATTTCTGAAGGCTGTGTCTGGGCTTTGGGTGGCCTGTGCCCCAGCAGTTGGGGATTAGTGGGGAGGAGGGTGGATATTGGCAAACAGTAACACACGGCCTTAGCCTCCATGGAGCACGCTGTGTGTAAGGGAGCTCAAACCCAGTGCCCAGACTCTGAATACAAAGCGTGAGGTATGAGAAAGGGGTGGAACTCACAACAGAGGTCGCCTTGGCTGCCTGGCAGGTGGCCCCCAGCCAGGGTTGGAGCTGGCCCTTGGAAGATGGGGGAATTTGGACCTGGGCTAGGGCAGGTGTAGGTAGTAGCTTCCTCTTGCAGAGTTGGGAAGCCAACTTCCCACTTGGATGCAGCTCTCTGGCCTTGCCCAGATGCTGCTGGGCCTCGTCTGAGCAACCCATACCTGGGGCCCAGGAGTTTTGCTTGCCTCGAGGGAGGGGTTTTGAGGGAAGGAATGGGGAGGAAGAGGAGGCTCCTAAGTGCCAGGCTAGGGAGTTTGGGTGCTATCTGTGGGCAACAGGGAGCTTCGGAACAGTGAGGAGCTGTGCCTTGAGGATGACTGGCAGACACAGGATGGAGCCGAGGGGGAGACATTGTGAGGAAGACCGTGTGTGGCCTTGGCCAGAGGCGGGGAGAAGAGGAGCGAGGTCGGGCTCCGTTCTCTGCCCCTTCCTATGCCCCGAGTCTCCTTCTCTCCAGCATGGATGAAGAAGAGATGGAGTTTCAGCCAAACCACAAGAGCGAGGAGGAAGGCAGCGGGCCCACCAGCCTCATTGGCCGCTTCCTAGGGCTGCAGACCCATGAACACCCCACCAGAACAAACTCAAAGACCCGACTGCTAGCGTACAGGAAGGAATCTTTCCCCCACAAAACGGGTTATGCCAAGCACCAGTTCAAGGACCGCAGAGGGGGCCTGATGTTCCCGGAAGGCCGCCAGTACCATGGGGACCGCGACGACAGCAAGCCCTTGAAGCTGGACACCTTCAGGTCAAGTCCACCGTATGAAAGGTCAGGCTACCATAGTGCCCCAGAGACGCCTCTCAGCCACACCCCCATGGTCTTCCCACCCAGAGCGTCAGCGCCCTCAAGGCTCGGCAGCCTCACAGACATAGAAGCCACTGTCAACAGCCAGAGCCTAAACTCTCTGGCTCACGGGACCAATGGTTCTGAATTGGTCCCCGAGAGGACTGCAGCCTCCAAGGAGCACCCAGAAGTAAGTTATGGGAGGAGGAAAACTGTCGAGTTTAACCTGCCAGATATGCCAGAGGCCCCTGCGTATCATCCCAGCAACGTGCACAGTAGATTCAGAGATCATGGCGAGCCCTACTGGGACTTGGAGAACAGGTCTGTCCCTGTCACTGCTCTCTCCCGTGGCCCTCCCTCCCCACTCCTTAGCCTTCCCTCCCTCCACAAGGGTCTTTGATTCTGTCCAGGTAGCTGGAGGGTGTTCATTCAGCATTGGCTCAGGGAGCACACCTGGTTCCCCCAGCAGGGGCTCTAGGGAAGCCTTGTTTACTTGACCAGGGGTCTGACATCACCAGAAGGTAAGACTTCCTGAGGACCCAGGTCAAGGAAGAGGCTGCAGCAAGGAATAGAAGAGGGCCACCGGGCTGGCAGGCCAGGGGTTATCTTTGGGCACAGCTGATTTGAGCAGAGGTGGCCGACCCAGAACCCTGGGGCAAACGTAGGGGCTTCAGCCTAAGAACTTGACTTACTGCCCGGGCTTAGTTGGGAGTTGCTGCTGCACCAGTGCTGTTCAGGAAAGGTGGGTGGCAGGCCCCGCCTCACTTCAGAATCGGCAAGTGAGGGCTTCGTCCCTGTTTCAGGCACGTGAAAAAGTGCTCCTTGGGCCTCCCTTTATTCCCAAGGATTTCTAGGATACTCCAGACTTTCACCCAACTCAAACAGCCCCTACTGCGCTTCTAGCCATGAAGCAGAAGTTTAACTTCCTATTTCTAGATTCTCAAGCTGTTCTGTGGTCAGAACACGTAGCTATTCTGATTGCAACTTGCAGAGGGCTACAATCTCAGTCTAGTTCTAGAAGGAAATTTTTACAAAATTCCTGTTTTGTTTAGTTAGCAAAGAACAGTTGGCTCTGCAGTTCACTAACGCTGTCCACTAGTTCTCAGTTCTCTCTTCAGATGTTTCAGCGTTTCCGAAGACTAGCTTTTCCTGCAGCTATTTTCAGAGCTGGGACGAAGGGCCATGCCATACTCACGTCTGTTCTCTCATATTCTGACAGAGATGATCTGCACTCCTAACCTGTTTCCCAAGAGGCTTTACCAGCCTGGTCCTCACCTGCTTGTCCACCAGAGGGCCACTGATCCAGTCACAACTATACAGCCATCCACACTGAAGACTGTTCTTATGACAGCCTGAAGTTTATAGTTAGCCTAATGGGTAACTCAACCAGCAGGACTACATCTGAGTCTCTAAATGCCTCCTGCAGGAGAACTGTGCAAGTTAAGATCAATCACCGGGAACACATAGCCCAGGGCCAGTCCTTAGTCCCATCTGAATTCCACACCCTCACAGCTCGTTAACCTTTCCCAAACTAAAGAGTTTAATAAATACAAATCCTCTTAAAAGTGTCATTTTATTAAGTGTGCTTGAAACTGAAACTGGTGTTTAAAGGATTTGACCAAGCTGACCTCGCCAGACTTCTGGCCCACCCCTCGAGATATCCAAGACAACAGCTGGGTACCAAATTGCTTTATCTGAAGGAATGGTACAAATGAAAGAACTTAGGTGAACATTTTGGTACAACTGATAGAAAAGGTAAAGATAAACCCAACATGCACGCGCTGTCTTGGTGAGCAGGGAGGTCACCCCGGGGGCAGTGGGGAAAGGGGCTAAAACTTAGCTCTCCCCATCACAGTTTCCCAGGGTGTGCTTATCGAAGAGATACTCTGCTAGGCCAGATTCCGGGGCCCCCATCTTGCGCAAGTTGGTTACGTAGTCACCCAATTCTTTGATGGATTTCACCTGCTCATTCAGGTAATGCGTCTCGATGAAGTCACACAACTAGAAAAGAGAAAAGGGAACAAAGGTATTGGCAAGCCATCCAGCCCCCAGGGCAACCAACAGCCTCCCCGTATTGTTTTCAGGACTCACATGGGGGTCGCTCTTGTCAGTGGCCAGTTTGTGCAGTTCCAGTAGTGACTGATTGACACTTTTTTCCAAGTGTAACGCACACTCCATTGCATTCAGCCCACTTGCCCAGTCATCACGGTCTGGTTTCTGGACAAAGAGGACAGGTCAATGCACCTGCAGCCTGCACCCACTCACTCCCTGAACAAGACAGCAATCACCTAACACCCACCACCACACTTTGGCAAAAGGGACAAGGCTTCCCCTCAGGGCTCCCGATTTCACATCCCAGCCCACCACAATGTGCCTACTGTAGCTTTGTGTCTGAAGGGCAGGCACCAAGGCCAAAGCTGCCGGTGGCCTCGTTTAGAGGACGGCTACTGGTCTGAGTGGTTCCTGACATCTGAGCAGTGCTGGGTGATCACGAGACCCAGTGGCGCCCAGAGCCCTGCTCACCTTGATATCCTGCAGGAAGATGCGGCCACCTCGTTGGTTCTGTAGCTTCATCAGTTTCTCGGCATGTTCCCTCTCCTCGTGCGATTGGTGAAGAAAGTATTTGGCAAAATTCTTCAAAGCCACATCATCGCGGTCAAAGTAGTAAGACTGGAAGCAGAACGAGAACATGTTAAGCTGGGGACCCCTGAAGGAAGGTAGCTGTGAGGGGCCAGCGAGTAGTAAAGGTGGCCTTAACCCAAGCCTGCCCTGCTCAAAGCCTCAGAGGTGGTGGTGGCCAGTGCCCACGGATACTGGAGGTAGGTGTGTTCCTGGATTGAATGTTGCTGCTCTACAATACGGAATTGGAACGGCACCCTTGGAAGTCTCAGACTCCAGGGAACCTTTAGAAGATCCCACGAACCTGCCTCCAGCAGAGGGTCACGGGGCTCTGGATCATCAGAGCCCGAGTACCGCCTCCCCCCACCATGCTGACACTCTGTGCATTTGCCAGTGTACAGCAAAGATTGCTGGATTGATTTCCAAAAGTAACCCTCCATGCAAGGTGACAGCGGTGGGCGAATGCTGATGCAAATCTATCACCAGCAAAAACAAAGATCCACTTTCCACTGAGTCAATTGCATCTCATAGTGACCCTATAGGGCAGAGTATAACTGCCCCATAGAGTCTCCAAGGCTGTAAATCTTTATGGAAGCAGACCGTCTCATCTTTCTCTCATGAAGTGGCCGGTGGTTCGAACTGCTGACCTTTCGGTTCGCAGCTGAATGCTTTTACCCACTGCACCACCACAGCGCCTATGTATCAACAGTACAAACCAAACGTGTGATTTTCAGTTTTAGACACTTGCTGTATTCAGGTGTTCCTGAAATGGGATAGCAGTCGCAAAAATCCAGGCCAGCTTTCAAACACACTTAGTACCTGACCACTCAGGTAATTGCAATTACAAGGAGATTCTAAGACTCCTATCACAAGCTGGAATTCTACCCTGTGTGACATTACTACGGGGCGATGGGGATTCCTTGCCCACCTACTGTTGCTGGACTTTATCAAGAACTAAGGGTTCAATTACCAGCCAAAGCTCTTCCTTTCTGGTTAGAAAAACAAAACAAACCAAAAGACTGGTGGGTTTGAACCGCCAGCCTTCTGGTTGGCAATCAAATGCCTTAAGCACTGTGCCACCAGCGCTCCTTTCCAATTAGAGTAAGAAGCAATCACATTCCCGAGGCCTAAAGGTGCATTATTAAGAAATTACTGGATGATGGCAGGAGAGAAGATTATTGCAGAGATAGGCTTCAATCCAAGTGGGACTTATGCAGAGCCGGAGGTGTGGAGGCAGCTGCTCGCTGCGGGAGGGGTCCGCCCACGGGAGATAAGCCACTTAGCGCCAGCCCCCGGGGTTGCTATTCGACACCATTACCCAACAGGCCCGTCACACACGGGGAGGCTGGGAGCCAATACCCAGGGCCACACTAAGGAGAAATGATGGCATGCAGGTGCAAAATGCCACCTTCCCGACTGCAGACTTGATTACACAGGCCCAAATCCAGGATTGCGGGCAGTTGGCACCTCCACACAGAGCGGTGCGCAAGCCGGCCCCCGCCCACGAGGGCGCCCTCCGGGAAACGGCACAAGAGGACAACAGCTCAGATGTAGAATGTCTGCGAGTGCGAAGTCCTGGGACACCTCCAGCGGCCTCCATCTTCCCGAAGGGCGCCCGGGGGCGGGAGAGCCGCCGATGACCACACCCTCGCAGGCCCCGAGGAGACCCCGCCGCCCTGCCCCGCCACAGGGCCTCACCATGGACAGGTAGACGTAGGAGGCGTAGAGCTCCAGGTTGATCTGGCGGTTAATGGCGGCCTCCGAGTCCTGGTGGTAGTTCTGGCGCACCTGCGAGGGGGACGCGGTCGTCATGGCGGCGGTTGAGGAGTGGCGGCAGCGGCTGTGCGGAGCTGGGGCGGCGGCGGGGGCCTTGGGGCGTCCGAGGGCGCTGCTGTAGGGAGGTGACGAAGGACTAGCTGGGAGCGGCGGTTGGGGGAGGTTGGCGAGCGCCGGGTTCCGTTCAAGCACTGTTGAAGCAGGAGACCGCGGCCACTCTGCGAAGAACGTCTGGCTCTGACGCCTGCGCGGCCGCCTCTTATACCTGGAGCGGGCGTCAGCCTTGTCCCGGCCAATCAGGGGCGCACCCCGCCCCCGCCGCGTATAGCCCCGCCCCTTCCGGTGGTCACGCGCGGGAGGGCGTCCTGCTGGAGCGGGGGAGGGAAGGGAAGGGAAGGGGAGGGGAGTGGAGGGGTGGTTCCACCCGGGTGGCTGGGCGGCTGCGGGGAGCCCTGGCCTTGGGGAGCCGGGAAGGGCCTGAGGGGGTCCCTGGTGATGAGAGGAGGCGCGCTGGTGCCTCTACGGGCAGTTTGGGGAGGTTGGAGCGAAGACCTGGCGAGTAGCGGGTAGATCAACTCTGCGCCCTGACTCCAGTGCCTGAGGCTGGCGGGAACTGATCCCTGGATTCTCAGAACACAAAAGGGAATCCCGAGGCCCTTGGCTCAGGGCATGTTATTAAAAATCGGCGCACTGCAGAAGCAGTTACAACACCCTGAAGTAATTATCTTGTTTTGCAAGGTGGGAAGATGGAAGGTGGAAGTGGGCTTTCGTTGGCGGAGTGAGTCAGAGGTTGCCTTTGCAAAGGGCTCACTTTCTCTTCCCCAAAGCCCAGGAAGGAGCAAAATGGAGGGGGCCTGGGGCCCACTGCAAGTTTGTGTCTTTCCCCGCCCTTCTGACTCCAGGTGGCCTTGCCTAACTTTTGCCCAAATCAAATAGGAATCCTTGTGCAGTTACTACAACAAAGGTTGGGGCGAGTGGTGTTTCCCAAGAGACTGACACCGCCTTCCTACAGGGAGTCCCTTCCTACAGGGAGTCGTGGGGCGAGCCAGCCACATGGGCTTCTGGGAAAATGGCTGGTGGCCCTCAGAACTCAAAGATAGATCCTGGGCTTAGAAAGAAAGGAGAAGCGACATGGAGACTAAGCAGTGAAACTGAAGAGGCCCTGCAAGGAGCCACCTGCTGGGGTTGTCATTGGAGAGAAGCTCCGACCACTGAATGGTGGAGTGGCAGGTGCAATGGACCTGGGAGGGGCAGGGCCATGTGTGTGACTCACAGCTGTGCCCCACCACAGAGTGGACGTGAATTTATGAGAGGCAAACTAGCTAGGGTCGGGCCCCTGCCTCCCAGTCTGTTAGCTTTGAAGTCCACTATTCTCAGCCAGTTCCTTCCACACATGCTCAAAGAGACCCATCAAAACCCTTTCAGGATACTCACAAACTTGCAATGAAGCTGAACTCAAGTCTAAAAAAAAAAAAAAAAGTCACTAAAACAAGCTGCTGATGGGATTATGGCCATGTCTCTTTTGTGGATGTTTTTAAATAAATATATGTTAGTTTTAGGAAAACAATTGAGCGGGGTAAAAGCTACAATAAAGTTAGCGGAGAATGCTGGGAGTGCCCAGATGAGGGGCACCCTGCCAGGGTGGGACAGGAGGTCAGGAAGGGCTCCCTAAGAAATGGAATTTGGAGACTGAGGTAACAGGAAGATGAAGTGGGGAAGGAGGTTGGAGGAGGGAATGCCCAGCAGAAGGACGGGCACGTGCAAACCGGGAAGGTGTCAAAGTGCACGACCTGCTCAAGGAACCTTAAAGTGCCCAACTTTTTTCACAGTGACTGCAATGACGGGCTCAGGTATAGCTAGGACTGTGAAGCTGGCATAGGACCAGGCAGTGTTTTGTTCTGTTGTACACAGGGTTGCTGTGAGTGGGAGACGATTCAACTCGACACCTAACGACAACAAAGTGCCTAAAGAAAGTTGGCCTGGAGCGCAGAGTACCTGCTGGGAATCCTAGAAGGGCCGTATAGTGGCAAGGCCAGGAAAGACTCTGCACCGTAAAAAGGCGTTAAACTGTAACCTGGAGACATAGATGTTAAGGGATTTCTACCCAGATGTTATGGATTGAATTAAATCTGCTCCCTAAATATGTGTTGTAAATCCTAACCTGTATGGTTATGCTTTCACTTGGGAATGGGTTGTCTTGATGTGTTAATGTGGCAGGATTAGTGTCAAGTGTATCTTGAGTCAGTCTCTTTCAGGAGAGAAAAGAGATCAAGCAAACAAAGAAGCAGAATTGGGGGGAAGAGAGATGCCCAGCCACATGAAGACTGCCCCGGAGCAGAAGCTTAAAGAGACAAGGACCTTCCTCATGAGCTGACAGAGAAGGGCTTCCCCAGAGGAGGCACCCTGAACGCAGACTTCTGGTCCCCAAAACTCTGAGAAAATAACATTTCTGTTTGTTAAAGCCGTCAATGTGTGGCATTTCTGTTACAACAGCATTAGAGAACTAAGCAGGAGCTCTGGTGGTGCAGTGCCTAAGGCACTCGACTGCTAACCAGAAGGTTGGCGGTTCAAACCCACCAGCCACTCCTTGGAAGGGCAATCTACTTCTGTAGTGATACCGCCTCGGAAACCGAAGGAGGGGTTGCTATGAGTCAGGTCTGGCACATAATAACAACAACAGAGAACTAAGACACCAAGGACATCCTGCATGGTTTTGGTTAGAAACAGAAAAATGCTAAGGATAAGAATCCAGTAAAGTCACCAGATGCCAAATTTTCTTGTATAACAGTAACCCCCACTTAGAAAGTGTAACAAATGAAAAAAACAATTCATTGACACTGACAACAAAATAAAATTAACAGAGATTATATGAAGAAAACTATAAACAATGACTACTGGACAGAAAAGACAGCTTGTATAAATGAAGAGACACTGTGTTTCTAGACTGTTGCTGTTGTTAGGTGCCATCAGGTACTGACGCATAGTCACCCTGCGTACAACAGAATGAAACACTGCCGGGTTGTGTGCCAGCCTGACAATCGTTGCTGTACTTGAGCCCATCATTACAGCCACGGTATCAATCCATCCTGTTGAGGGTTTGCCCCTTTTTTGTTGACCTTCTGCTTGATCTAGTGTGTTATCGTTCCCCAAGGACTGGGCCCTTCTGATAACAAGACCTAAGTATGAGAGACAAAGTCTGGCTGTACTGTTTCTAGGTGAGAGGGCTCAATTCTGTAAAGATGCCAATTTTCCCCCAATAAACCTATAAACTCAATGCAATTGCCAGAAAACTCAGTGGGCTTTTGTTTGTTTCTTTGTTTTGCAACATGACAAAGTGATTCTACAGTTCATTTGGAAGAATCAGTGTGTAACAGGGTATAAGCATTGATGGGCAGGGTAGGGAGAAGCCGTGAGGCTAGATTTTCCTTCCCTGATACAAAAAATACCATAAAGTACAACAAGCAGTGTGGTACCAACACAGGAACAGACAACCGTATGAACACGACAAAACAATCCTGCCATGTGTTTATGGAAACTTGGTATGTGATAATGTGTCATTTCAAATTAGTGGGGAAAGAATGGGTTCAATAAATGGTGTCAAAACATCTTGGTGACCATTTGGGAAACAATGACTCACTCTATTTAAAAATACATTCCAGCCAAAAAATGAAAAAATCACAACTTCATAGAAGAACTAGAAGAATATATCGAACATTATCTTTCATAATTTGGGGGTACAAGTACTCTTCTGAAGCTGTCAGAAACCATGAAAGGACCGTTGGTGGATCTGACGGCTTAAGCATGAAAAACCTAGGAAAACCAAACCAAACTCCCGGCTGTCGAGTCTTAAATGCCATAAGTAAAGCTTTTAGCTTTGCCACTTTTCAACAAATGGGGAATTGAGTCAATGACATTTGTAGCTCGTGTAAGTGGTGGAGGTTCGTAAGTCTAATGTACATCAGATGTTTATATATATTGTTGGTAAGTGCCATCGACTTGATCTGAGACTCATTGTGACTCCATATGACAGAAAACAACAGCCTCATGGGGTTTTCTGGGCTGTAATCTTTACGTGTTGCCAGCTCTTTTCTCCCACAGAGTCAATGGGGGGGTTTGAACTGCCAACCTTTCCGTTAGCAGCTGAGTGTTTAACTGTTGTGCTGCCTGGGCTCCAGCTATTTATATATACGTCTGTAATTATGTGGGATCTCTGTGGCATAGTGCCTAAGGCATTTGACTGCTAACCAGAAGGCTGGCGGTTCACACTCATCAGCTAGTCCTTGGAAGGACGGTTGGGCAATCTACTTCCACAGTGATACCACCTCAGAAACCCAAAGGAGGGGTTGCCATGAGTCGGATCCGACTTGATGGCATTGAGTTTGGTTTTTGGTTTATATAATTATGTACGTACTAACCACACCTTTTCACAATGACTTTTTGATTGTCTTCTCTGCTACTGTATACTTGAAGCCCCTGGAAGGACACATAGTTTCTGTCTCCTTCAGCCCTGTACTTCCAGCCCTTTAGGAGGTGCTTGGGGTTTGGTGCTTAAACAAATGGATGGATGAATCATTGAGTGTAGAGGGTGGAGACCAGTTGGGAGGCAACAGCCCTAGTTCTCGGTGAGCAGAGGGGACAGAAAGAGATTTGAGAGACGTGGAGAAGACAGAAGGGATAGGTTGAAGTGGCTGATTGAGTAATGGATGGACGAGAGAGCCGCCTGGCTTTCTGGCCTGCACAGCTGGGTGGCTCTTGCCGTTCACCGAGACAGAGAACACAGGAGCCAATGCGGGTTCAGGGGAGGCCGGAGATGCCAAGTCTGCGTTGGGACCAGATGTGCCGAGTTTGAGGGCCTCTGAGAGCTCTGGTGGTGTAGTGCCTAAGCCATTTGACTGCTAACCAGAAGGCTGGCAGTTCAAACCCACCAGCCACTCCTCGGAAGGAAGATGGGGCAATCTATTCTGTAGTGATACCGCCTCGGCAACCCAAGGAGGGGTCGCGATGAGTTGGGATTGACTTGACGGCAGTGAGTTTGGTTTGGGTTGGTTTGAGGGCACTCCGATGGCGAGAGCGGCATGAAGTTGGACTCGCCTGAGAGCGGTCTGTTGCAGAAAGTGTTGTCTGATGCCATCAAATCGGCTTCAACTCATAGTGACCTTATGTATAACAGGATGAAACACTGCCCAGGCCTGCGCCATCCTCAGTCATGGCTATGGCCGTTGCAGCCCCTGTCAGTCCATCTCACGGATGGTCTTCC